TAGAAGGGAGTGAGGTGGAGGAAGAACAAGACCGGGAGGTCCTTGGTGTTCTCTGAGGTTGAAGGTTTTGTTACAGACGTTTCATTACCCAACTAGGTACCATCATCAGTGCCAGAAGGGAATGGGGTTTGTGGAATGGAGAAGCAGGAGGAGGAATATGGGATCTTCGTTGCTCTCTGAGCTTGGTTGTTTTCTTGCAGACATTTCATGTCCCAGCTAGGTAGCATCATCAGTTCTAGAAGGGAGTGGGGTTTGAGCTGTTTATATAGACGTGGCTTACCCTTTGATGGGAGTCTCCTTGGTAGTTCCTTGGTTGGGTTAATGGATTAGTTGTATGAGTTGGGCATTTCTGGATTGGACTATTGTTTACTGCTTGATTGTTGTTCTGATATTCTGGCATTAATCCCTGCTTATCTGGGTGTTGATGGCTGGTGAGGAGGCATGTTGGACTTTTTATTTCCTTTTTAGCTTGTGATCATCTGTGTTGAATAGTGTGTAGATGTTGCTTATCTCTAGATGCCTGTTAATGGCTGATTTGCTTGAATGCCAGACTTCAAGGAATTCCTTAGCATTTTTTTATTTAGCTTGGTCTAATGAGAATAGAATAGAATAGAATAGCAGAGTTGGAAGGAACCTTGGAGGTCTTCTAGTCCAACAACCTGCCAAGGCAGGAAACCCTTCACCACTTCAGACAAATGGCTATCTAATATCTTCTTAAAAACCTCCAGTGATGGAGCATTTACAACTTCTGGAGGCAATTTCTGTTCCACTGATTAATTGTTTTCATTGTCAGGAAATTTCTCCTCAGTTCTAAGTTGCTTCTCCCTTTGGTTAGTTTCCACCCGTTGCTTCTTGTTCTGCCCTCAAGTGCCTTGGAGAATAGCTTGCCTCCCTTTTCTTTGGGGCAAGCCCTGAGATATTGGAAGACTGCTATCCTGTCTCCCCTGGTCCTTCTTTTCATTAAACTAGACATCCCCAGTTCCTGCGACTTCATAGGTTTTAGCCTCCAGTCCCCTAATCCTCTTTGTTGCTCTTCTCTGCACTCTTTCTAGAGTCTCCACATCTCTTCTACATCGTGGCAACCAAAAGTGGATGCTCAGTTTCCCAGTTGAAACTATGGCTAAGTCCGTCCATGTATTAAGGAGTTTTCATTGTGTCTTTGCTGCTGCTGCGGTTAATGTAGTAAACTGAGCCATAGCAAACTATATTATGTGAATGCACCTCTTGACCTGGTAGAATATTAATTATAGCAGGTATGGCTAGGATATAATGTTTCCTCTGTTTACCCAGCCTGGTCTCTTTTCTTGTTTTCAGAGCTTTGGCGTCTAGAATATCCAGACCAGCCTTTCTTGCGCCATTCGGATATATCGGATTCAATTTCTGCAATCTTTAGTTTGCATAAGATGAAAACCAAAGCCTTTAAGAGCTCTAGAAAGCTCCAGAGTGAAACCTTGCACAGCTTCACAACTCTTCAAATACATACTGCCTTTCCCCGAAAATAAGACCCTGTCTTATACTTTTTTGCCACCAAAAAAGGGTACCGGGTCTTATTTTAGGGCGGGGGGGAATGTTGTTACACTGACTCATCTTACCTCTGCGTATCGCCCCCTGCCTCCTTTTTGCTATCAGAGGCCTTCAGCAGCTTCTGCCGCCATCTCTGGATCGATCCAGAGCTCTGTTATCGGCTGCAGAGGCCTTCAGGAAAGGGTTGCCGGCTGCAGAAGAAGTGGGCTGGCAAGGTGTGTGTGTGTGTGTGTGTNGAACGATGGAGGGCAAAAGAAGAAGAAGGGGACGGCAGGGAAGGAGGGGGCTGGATGGAGTCACCCAAGCAGTCGGCGTGAGCTTCAAGGGACTCCAGAGGATGGTTGAAGACAGGAAGGCCTGGAGGAACGTTCTCCATGGGGTCACGATGAGTTGGCCACGACTTCGCAACTAACAACAACAATCAATTACAAAAAAATACTTGGCCAGCAAGCCGAAAGTAGTTTAAACTCTGTTTAATAAATAATTTGTATGCATACATCCAATGCAGTTGCATATATTTTACGTACATTATATACACCAATGCAGTTCTGATAAAATTTCACTTGGTTAGCGAGGGACTGGAGGGAAAATAAGGAGATGAATTCCGTTACAGGAACATTGCTTTAAAAAAAAGAAAAGAAAATCAAAAGTCCCAAACCCATTTGGTCCCACGAGGAGGGCACCCATGTCTCCACATGGGAAAAAAGTCCATGGTCCTGCAATCTTCAGGCTCAGGATGATGGGCCTCTGGGCAGGCACCAGATGCCCCATTGGGCCGGGGAGGAAAAGGCTTGGAAGAGCTTTTTGGGGTGCTGGCAGCCAGTGGCTGGAAGAAGCCCCGTTTTTCCTCTCGGATTGCCGTGGGCGTCCTTTGCAGCTGGCACCCTTGGTGGGCAGAGGGAACGAAAGGGCATTCAGCACAGCCCTGCTTGCCTGGGGAGAGGCCAGCCTCTTGCCAGCTGCTTTCCCGGACGAGGAGAGGGGGGATCCGAAAGAGCCTGGAAAACGGGGGAATTTCGGTAGGAGAGGGAAGGGGAAAGCAGGCACCCCAAAACCCCAGAATCTTTTTTTAAAAAGGGACCATGAAGCAGAAATCATGCAGAGAACACAGAAGAGAAGAAGTGTGTGGGGTGGAAATTGTGCAGGGCGGTGTGTATGTGTGTGTGTGAAAGAGAGAGAGAAACAAGGGCCGTTATCCTTGCCAGCTTTTGGGAATTGAGTCTGTCCAGTTTTGTGAACTACAGATCCTGAACTGCGCCCCCCACCCCAAAAAAAACTAAATCTTGCGGCCGACCGCAAGATAATATTTGCCTGTTTTTTCAAGTCCTCTCTAAAGAGCCACGAAGAGAGTCACGGGAATCAGGATTGGTTCTCCCAGTTTTCCTTCATCTAAAGCCAATGTGTGACGTTGCCGAAAACGCCTCCATCTGTGAGATTTCCTAACGTGCTCATTTCAAAGCGTTTTGCAAAGTGTCCAGTTTCCTTTCCACCCCCCTCCCCACAATTTCTTCATCTGGTAAATCCAAAACACCCACGTAAAATTCTCTCTCTCTCTCTTTTTTTTTCTGCGTAAAGGCCCAACTTAAAACAAATGGATATATTTAAACTTTTTTCAAAGAGTAAAAGCGTACAAACGATGAGCTGGAGTTGAACAAGGTGATTACGGGAGTGCGTTAAAAAAATAGACCGAAAGAACAGACGATAGGAAAAAAAAAACGGTGAACATCAGCTATTCAACCCTACGTGGCAAATATTCTTTTTTTTAATCGTGTAAGTGCTTCCCAGCCTCCACGCCGGTTCCTGTATCTTAACATATTGTACATCGTTTAGAACTATTTACATTGGCTATTTTTTTTAAAAAAAAT